TCTTCATTCATTTGGTAGTGAGGTGACTCTTTCAACACCCCCATACACATGAACACACCTTTTCCATTTCATCCAGATAGCAGTCAAGAAAGTCTCGTAGCTCTCCAGGCACTCTGGTCTTCTTGTGCTCTGAAAACATATGTCAGCATTAATTTGTATTCATTCAGTTTTTTTCCACTGACAAAGTGTTATTGTTGTCACCGTATATATGTGTGATGTTAGAGAAAATAATCCATTGTACCATTGATGCTAATATCTTTGTTTAGTCTTACATATTCCTAAATTTAGGGCCTAATATTTTTCATTTCAGGGGCCTGCACCAAGAAGCGAGTAGGCCTACAATATACCCAGGATATATTTTAGTTATCTGGCTTAACTAACCCTAACAATCGCGGTCGGGATAAGCGTTACCACGATGCTGGTTATCAACTCGATAACTCACAGATGGGTTTCCCAATCCAGCCGTGACCGTGTTCACATTAAAGAGCTTAGCAGCAGATGACCATCACAGACATGAACAAGTCCACTGGCATCAGAGCCGCATATTTTACAAACGAAGAGCAAACTCTAACACTACAGAAATACGAATACTACATAGTCTAAGTAACACAGCTGCAGCTGACACATGCAGGGAGACAGTGTGAATGCCTACACGAACAGACTTAGTCTATGATAATGCGTTGATCTGATGTGTTCTTATGAGCTGTATGAAAATATCAGCCCTTTACAGCTTGGCTGTGTGTTGGGGGTTTCCACTTTACAAGACTTAATAAGTGGTTGTTCCACTTCACTGTAACTTCAAAAAATAGATTAATTTATTTAACACACTCAAAAGTGTTCCAAACATTATTCTAAAAAACTTCATAAAGCAATGAAATGAAAAATCCATTCATGCCATAAAATGTGCTCAGATAGTGGTTGAAACACTGAATCTCAACATTTAGGCTACTGAAAACTCACCTCATTACCTGAGCTTACATCGCAAAAAGTGGGGCTGAACATGACCAGTCTCATTGATAGCCTATAAGAAAGTTACTAATCTAAAATAAATAACCTGCGTTCATATTAGGCCTAAAATTAATTCCAATATCCAAATTGCTCATGATATTCTCATCAGAAAAATTAAACTCACTTATTTTAACAGCTGCGACAGACTGTGCGAAACGGGGTGGGAGCAAATAAAAAATATTAAACACATTTCAAAGCAGTTAGTAGGCTTACTGTAAAAACCTGTAAGCCTACAATAGCCTAAGGCTTTTAATCAGTCTCTGTAAGATATTGCTATAGCCTACAAGAGTTTCTCCACATCACCGCAGCAAACATAAAAGCAGCCTAGAAAACAGTCTGAGGGATTTCCTATGGTGATGTCATTTTCCACGAGGGCTGATTGCTCTTGTCTGGAACATAACCTAGAACAGCCCAGTTCACACCACAGCCGTTAGCCGTTCAGCATAAGTTACCATGGTGATCTACCCCAGTAAGAAGTGATCGTGGTACTGAAAACACAGGCTTAAACTTAAAGTTACCTCGATAAACTCAAATCCCTACTCATGGTACAGAATTTATTACAAATGAATCTCTAGGTCAAATTAACATACCTTAGCATTCTTCAAGGCCTTTATGAAGGGCAGTGACAGGTTGTGAATCATGGGAAGAGTGTCATACAGCTGTATAAAATAAAAATAAAGATAAATCATTAGTTTATCTGAATCCAAAAATTCTGATTCTGTCTCTTGGCAACTGTTAGCCAGATATTCAGATATTCATCCAAAGAAGGTTCATTCTCAAAGACGTGAAGAATTGATGACTGAGAACTTTCACAGACAGATATTCTTGTTGCCCAGAGAATAAATGCTCATGACTCTGGGGATCCTTTGATTTTTCATCTACTTCCACCTGGAGGTCAAAATGTTAATTTGTCATTTATGACCAAATACCCACATAACTAATGACATTCCCATCAGCCTTAGCAGTACTGTTTGTTTAGAGCAAATTAACAAATTTTGCTTAAAGCACATGGCCAGAGTTGTTACATTGGCAACATGCTTTGACTCACCATAGCCCATGGTTCATTAGCTATCTTGGCATTCTCAGTGAAGCATTGAACGATCACTTTGATGAACTCATCATCATACTCGTAACGTGTCCCAAACAGAACCTGGCAGATGATGTTGGAAGCCGCATTATGAAACATAAGTCGAGGACTGAAGCTTTTGCCTGTAAAAGACAAAATGTAGATTGAAGTATGACACAGCACTGAACAACAATACAAAAGAACATTACACTAACAATACACAATGCAAATCAACCAGTCAACACAAGCTTACACAGTGAGCAGAAAGTGACGGAGAGATAAAGGGCAATGGAACACAATGGAGACCTCTTTAAAAGGAACCATAAAAATCTACTGACATGAACATAAATGGAAATTGATATTATAATATTTGTGGTGTCACCGATTAAAGTTATACCAATGCTCTTTTCCAGTGTATCAATGGTGTATCGCAGCTCTCCGTGAATCCTCTCCTCCATGGAATCCTTCCCCAGACCAAAGTTCCTCAAAGTCATCAGAGCAAAGCGACGATGATCCCTCCAAAAAGAGCCATAATCTGCCAGAATCACTCCTTCAACAGGTGTAGTGACACAAAGAGCACACAGTGTGAGCTTACAGGTCAGCTAATGTAACATTTTCTCTAAATATAACTAATGTCATCGGTACTGTTCTATTCCATCGAACTTTCTAACCTGTTTTGTATTTAATCTCCACAGTAAGGTGATTTCTTTTTTTTACTTTCAAACCTGAGACATTTCTGTATTAGGGAGTTGTATCAGTGAGATTCATTAATAGATTTGTCAACGTAATTTACTCTTAAGACCCGGCCTCAGTGAAAAACTAAGCATGCTTTCCTGCGATTATAAGATTCTGGCTAAAGTTCTTCATTTCAGGCCGGGTATTAACAAATAATATGCAACAGTTATTTCACATTATGTTACAACCAAACAGTTGGAAATCTCGAAATCACTGCTATGTCACTTGGGGCAGGAAAAGCTTTTGATCAACACATCCACATGCCAATATTTACTCAAAGTCATAGCGCCACCTGCTGGCAACAGGAAATGACATGTTTTACGCTGTAATGTACTACTCCTAGCAGGTTGTACCCATCAACTTCAAAAATTGTCCCAGAACACCCATAATGCATTGATGAAGCCATGTTGTAAAACAAGTTGCAGTTCACATTGTGTCGGTGGCATGGTGGCAAAGTTGAACTCTTCGCCATGACACAGGAAGTTGTTGTAACTTGACTGTACATGCTCACATCTGTACCAGAGTTCACACGTTCGAAAAGAGTCCTGCCATAAACATATGTACAAGACAACATTCACCCATAGTCATGGCGCCACCTACTGGCAACAGGAAGTGATCTTCAATGAAGCAGCTCCCACGGCACGTTTTACCTACATGTATGAAATTTTCGTAGCACATATACCATGTCCAGATGTACAAAAAAGCCTCTTGGATCGATGTCCTAAACACAACAGGAAGTCAGCCATTTTGAATTTTATGGGGGGTTTTTGATTTTTTTACACACTCCATACTTAGAAACTCCTCCTAGAGAATTAGTCCGACCGACATCAAGTTTTACCTGTCTACTCTAAAGCCTTTGACGATTAAAAGTTGTACAAACGGTGAGTTTTTGTGAAACGGCGTGCCCGTGGTGTGGCGTCGAAAATCAATGATTTGCCATGAAAGAGGAAGTTATTTCAACTTCAGTGTACATGCTCACATGTGCACCAAACTTTACGTGCTTGGTAACAGTCCTGCCCCGAACACATCTACATATTCATTTGTAGTCGTAGTGTGAAGTGCTATGTAGCGCCATAAAGGGGATACAGGATGTGAAGATTAACACATTTGTTCAGCGTCTGAAGCGTGTTGGAAATTCACAGCCACACTACCAGAGCTCCAGAATCTGCAATGTGGCCACCTCACACATCAACATGCTAAACGTGCGAGGGCCCGCCCAACGCTGCTTGCATCTTTAATTTTGTAATTGTGATGCTTTGCAGTGATGTATAATAGTCTCGTCTTCTTCTTTTCTTCATCACAATGAGATGCTCTGTCATGCAATGTCATAAAAACACTAACATCAGATGGAATTACAGAAACTACATTATTTTAAATGTGTCAGGCCTGCCCTTATACAGCTGAAAGTATATTGTATGGATTATAGATTATGCTTTGCAATGCAGTGTCTTTAGAATACATGGTAAAATTATTAACACTTTGCGGCAGGAGGAGGCCTACAAAATCCTACCTGTTGGTTTCTCAAAAAGTCTGGACAATGGATGCCATTGTGTCCTGGCTGAGATTTGGCTGTACTTGTTCATCAGCCTCTCTGTATGATAGCCTATGTTTTCTGACATGCTCTAAGCAAGTAGCTCTTATTTCATCAGTTCCCCAAGCTCTGGCCCTTCTGTGGGCACCACCACACATTCTGACTCCTCTCCCTCCACCTTATCCTTGTGCCACTCCTCTCCCTTGTGCTGGTACTCGTCTTCCTCTCTCTTGTGCAGGCATTTTCCTTACTTTATTTGTGTTACTCTATATTGGTCCTTTTCCACACAAGATCAGCTCAAAGAGGTCCTCTTTTACTGTATACCACATGGTCATGCGATTGAAAGAACCTCAACGCGTGAGTGTGTTCCCTAAATGGGAATGTGATTGATCTATTTGTATTGTAATTTGTAACTCCAATTAGCTGTTTCTCTGTAGTTTCAAGTCACAATATGAAAAGCTGTTCACTTTGACTTTGACTTTAGCCCATAAGTTAGGTTTAGAACATGATGTCATGTCGATGTCGTTTTAATAACTTTGAGTTTTGGACTGTTGGTTGGATAAAACAAAAAATTATGAAGGTGTGCTGTGGGTAATTGTGACAGCATTTCTCACTATTTCATTTTTTTTATTTTTACAAAACAAAAAAACAAAACAATCCATTAATCAAAAAAAATCAGCGGTTTAATCCATAATGTACATAATCATGCAGTTAATATCTGCAGTTAAAATGTATCTCCATTCATGCATCAGTAATGATAAACTTGACTACTGGAACTACATGTAAATTAATTATACACCTGGAGCAGCCACAACAGTAAAGCATCAATTTTAACATTATAACAATGTCTATATATACAATGTCTATATATATGTCTATATACATATATATATATACACATACATACACACACACACACATATATATATATATGGTTAAATGGTAAATACCCCGTTACTGATGGCTACGTTCGTTTCCGAGAGTCTGCTCTTTTGGCTCCCAAACAGCTATTCAATTAGTACCACTTCTGTTATTCACTGCCTAAGTTACATATTTGTTGCAAGAAATAAATATGTAACATTCTTCATCTGCAATACACTGAAATGTTCTGTCATATTGATGTTTAAAAAGTGTCAGATGTCAAGAATAACTTTCCTAGTTGTATAACAAAAATAACACCGTACTAATGAAACAGAATGGTTAATAATTAACCGAAATTGGCTCTCAGACTGGAGCTGGCTCCCATCGTTCTCTTAAAAGAGCTGGCTCGTTGTAGAGTGAGAAAATGATGGGATCAGGGATTGAACCCTGCAGAACTCTACAGAGCATACAGGTTGATGAGGACACAAAGTTGTCTATGATAACAAGAGGCTATTGATAAGGCTAGTGGAACCAGATACAGTGATGGTGGCTGGACTACTGAGCAGGCCATGGCATTCATATTTCAGAACCTTAGTAAATACAATATAGCTACAGAATGTAAGTATCTGCTCGAGTATCTGCTAGAAAAATGATAGCAATTCCTGATACCCACTGCAGGATCTATTGATAGGTCAAAACATAATTTAATATTCATTCTGGGGTGCCATAACCACATATTGGCACATTTCACAATGTGTACTGTTAACTTCCATTAGGTGTAGCACAGAAAGCCCTGTATTGTATTCAGCATATTTGTTCTCAGGAGTTGCTTGTGTTAATCTGGGTCAGTCTCCACTGTGATGCCATGTGCCATGTGTCTGCAGACCGCCTTACTGCATTGCCCTGTGTTGGACCTTCATGTGATAAGGTTTGGGGGTTAAAGTGACCCCATAGACCGGAGAGTAGTCTGGCACCCCTGCATCCTCAGGCCAGATGAACTTGAACTTCCTCAGCAGCGTCACCATGATGAGAAAGAGTTCCATACGAGCCAGACCCTCTCCAAGACACATCCGAGGACCTGAGACATAAGAAATACCTCTATAACAGTTTGATTAAACTCTATATGTGCATGTCACTGCAGGTGTGATACCATAACAAGTCTCATACTGCTGTTTGTTGTTCTCTCTCATACCTGCGGAGAAAGGCATGAAGGCCTCTGGTTTAACAAACTCTCCCTTGTCATTGAGAAAGTTTTCAGGGTTGAATTCATGAGGGAATTTCCATTGTCCCTCCTCACTCAGCAGTGAGGTCAGGTTAGGGATGATCATTGTACCCTGAGGAGGAGGTAGAGGAAGGTACAAAACATTTGTAAGAAGTTAAGATTCACTTAAGCTACCTAAGTAAAAGTAATGTTTGTGCCATTACATAAGTATGGTACAGACAGCTGCTATACAGCAGAGACATTTTAGAGGAGACACGCCACTCAATACAACTCTGAGGAAAGCTCGTAACGGCAAAGATGGTGGTTATCCTGCCCCTCCCGCTAGAAAGCCAATCGTCTGCTTTTAACAGCCAATGCGGGAAACATATTTCAGCCAACCGTGTTGTTCCACTGACTTAAAGGTCAGTTATTCTTCTACTGCGCATGCATGGAAGTGGTGACACATGCGTAGTTGAAGTATAACCGGCTGGGAAAACCGTTTTTAAACCTTATAGGGCAAAGTTGTTAAACTTTTTCAGTGATTTTTATCAGTTTTTACTGCTGATTCTATTCATATAGTTTTTATGTCTTGGTGACCTGCAGTTCCGGCTCTCTCCCCATTCACTCAGATGGTTATTCCGAAATAGCTGCCCAGAGGCGTTGCCAAGATGGCTGCCGAGTGGTGTGACTTGGCTATAAAGAATTTGTATAGAGTACTGTGAGGTTTGTTTCCACAACACTATTGCCAGAAAGGATTTAGCACCAATTGCTTCTTACCTTGGGAATAGAATATCCCATGAGCTCTGTGTCTTTGGTCGTACAGTGGAAAACACTAAGTGGAACAGTGTTGGCTATCCTCTGCACTTCATGGATCACAGCCTGGATGCAGAGGGATTTAAACAACATGTTTTTATGTTTTATCTGACTTGGGGAAGAAGAAAAACAATGCAGACTCTCAAAAGCTCAGCCACAAAAAAACGACCAATAAACTTGAAATACAGGAACCCACCAGCAATATGTCTACAACCAGGCAAACTGAAAAACTGAAACTGATCTCCAAAGCTGCTGAGCAATTATTATGCCACTTAGACTCATGTGAACATATGAAATAAAAGTGAAATAATTACAAAAAACCAAAGTGATGATGTACCTGCATGTAAGGCATGTGGTGTCTGTCGTCAAAACTGGCCCGATCCTTCCCTTCCAACACCCGGTCTATTTCCTGCTGACAACGCTCTGAGAGATCCAATGACTTATAGTGATAAATGCTGTATCGCTTACATTTTGGTAATAATCACTGGACACACAACTATCTATCTGTGCTTCATTCCTGTACAATTACTGCAGCATTAGACAGGTCGGGCGCCAGTCTATACTATTTAGGATCAACCAAAGATCTTTTCTCAAGAGAAAGAAACTCAGTCATCTCAGTTATTTGTACCAAAATGCCCTAGCTAACGCCATTTTCACACAGGTAGGTAGCAGCTTGATAGGCAGAATGTTGATTCATGCATAGATACACACTTTAGATAGAAAGACAATAATAACTTTAGAGCCAATGGCAGAAAGATTACCAATTTTTTAAATGTGCAGGTATACCTTGGATATGTGGGTAGGTCATAAGATAAAGGAAACCAGTAAGCAGGGTGTTGGAGGTAGTGTCAGTCCCAGCGAAGTGAAGATCTAGAGCATACGAAGTCAGTTCATCTTCTGAAAATGAAGAGCCATCATTGCCTCTCTAAAAAGAGGAGAAAGATTGTTTCAAGACAAGCAGACATTAAAGTTGTGGTATTATTAAGGTGGTATTATGCTTTTTGGCTTTTTCCCTCACCTTTGTGGAGTTATATATTGTGCATATAATAGGTTTGCAAAGTAAAAAAGCTCAAAGTCCACCTCAATGGGAGTTCCCATCTGCCACAGAAAACTCTGCTCTGAACTGCTTGAAAACAGCTCGTTTGTAGTCCAGCCGCTTCCCTTTCATCCTTGTGACAACACAGGGAAGAAAGCTAAAAGCGCCTTATATAACGCTCGCCAAGCGGCTAGTCCGACACGCTCTCAAAAACACTGGTGGAAAAACACTGAGCATACACCTCTCCTCTCCCTTCCAAACACTAGATACCCTCCAGGCAGTCAATGGACATAAAGTTGTTATTGTGATATAGTCTCCTGTAGTTTTTGAGTGTCCGCAAGGCTCTCCACACTGACGCAGGGTCGTTGGCTGCAAAGCTGTTATTTTCGGCATAGCTTTTCTTTGCAGCTTTGATCTGTTTAGTCAGTGTGTTTCTGGCGTGGATCATATTTTCTAGGATGATCCACAGCACTGCAACTAATTTTAACGTTGTATTATTTTAGTTTTATGCCATGAGAAGAAAATGGGTTAGGGATGGGTTAGAAACCTGGCGTTAAACAGGGCACCATTACCAAAGACCGCTGTATTGATAAACTCTGATGGACTGGCAACCTGTCCAGGGTGTACCCCACCTTTCAACCAATGTCAGCTGGGATTGGCTCCAACCCCCCCGCAACCCTGTACGCAGGATAAACGGTTGACAATGGATGGATGGATGGATGGATGGATGGATGGATGGAAGCTTAAATGAAAAATGTCATTCTGTATACGCCTATTGTCTAATAGTTTAGAGTAGTTTGCCATGTACCTTAAAATTTGTCTGTAAATTCTTGTCAACTTCGCTGCTGGCTGAGACAAACCAGACCCTCAATTACTCAACGTTCACATGTGTCATTGAAAATTTCTCTTGTGAAAAGAGTCAAATTACGAACACACACATCTTCATGCATTTGGTAGTGAGGTGACTCTTTCAACACCCCCATACACACGAACACACCTTTTCCATTTCATCCAGATAGCAGTCAAGAAAGTCTCGTGGCTCTCCAGGCACTCTGGTCTTCTTGTGCTCTGTCAACAAGCACTTCACAAGATTCTGACAAGTCTGAAAACATATGTCAGCATTAATTTGTATTCATTCAGTTTTTTTCCACTGACAAAGTGTGTTGTTGTCACCGTATATATGTGTGATGTTAGAGAAAAAAATCCATTGTACCATTGATTCTTATATCTTTGTTTACTCTTATATGTTTATTCCTAAATTTAATATTTTCCAATTAACATACCTTAACATTCTTAAAGGCCTTGCTGAAGGGCAGTGGCAGGTTACGAATCATGGGAAGAGTGTCATACAGCTGTAAAAAAATAAAAATATAAAGATAAATCATTAGTTTATCAGCCTTAGCTGTACAGTTTGTTTAGAGCAAATTAGCTAATTTTGCTTAAAGCACATGGCCAGAGTTGTTACACTGGTAACATGCTTTGACTCACCATAGCCCATGGTCCATTAGCTATCTTGGCATTCTCAGTGAAGCATTGAACGATCACTTTGATGAACTCATCATCATACTCGTAACGTGTCCCAAACAGAACCTGGCAGATGATGTTGGAAGCCGCATTATGAAACATAAGTCGAGGACTGAAGCTTTTGCCTGTAAAAGACAAAATGTAGATTGAAGTATGACACAGCACTGAACAACAATACAAAAGAACATTACACTAACAATACACAATGCAAAATCAACCAGTCAACACAAGCTTACGCAGTGAGCAGAAAGTGACAGAGAGATAAAGGGCAATGGAACACAATGGAGACCCCTTTAAAAGGAACCATAAAAATCTACTGACATGAACATAAATGGAAATTGATATTATAATATTTGTGGTGTCACCGATTAAAGTTATACCAATGCTCTTTTCCAGTGTATCAATGGTGTATCGCAGCTCTCCGTGAATCCTCTCCTCCATGGAATCCTTCCCCAGACCAAAGTTCCTCAAAGTCATCAGAGCAAAGCGACGATGATCCCTCCAAAAAGAGCCATAATCTGCCAGAATCACTCCTTCAACAGGTGTAGTGACACAAAGAACGTACAGTGTGAGTTTACAGGTCATCTACTGTAACATTTTCTCTAAATGTTACTATCCAGTGTGATCACTACTGTTCTATTCCATCTAACTTTCTAACCTGTTTTACCCTCCACAGTACTTCAAGATGATTTTTTTTTTTTTTTACTTTCAAACCTGATACATTTCTGTATTAGGCAGTTGAACCTATCCTCAACCTCAAGGTGAAACTAGTAAATATTATAACATTAAAACAACTTTGGGCATCAAACATTTAATTTCCTGCATTGTCCAAATGTCTTTATTTATATGAAGGGAAACATAATTAAGGTGGCAGGTGACAATTGAAAATATAAAAATATAATGGAATATAATGCAGTAATCAGCTTTGGGACAATACATTTGTTTCTTCTATATTTCAATTGCATTGCATGTTTCTTATCGTGCATTGTTCCATTTGTTATTTAACATTTCTTGTTGCAAGCTGTTTTTCACAACATTTTAACAAAAGCTTTCAAAAAGTGATGGAGACGTTCTGATTCTGACATGTCCCCAGCATCCCCAGTGATATATCTGACAATATTTTTACATGTCCCGCCCCATCAAGGCTGTGATTGGGCAGGAAACATAACTGCAGATCCATCTCACACAGGGCACAACCTCTTCCAACGTCTCCCCTCTGGTAGGCGCTACAGAGCACTGTACGCCAAAACCAACAGACTCGTGGGAATAGTTTCTTCCCACAAGCCATCACTCTGATGAACAGCTGATTCTGACTCACGGTGTCAGGAACAATTCCTGTGCAATAATTCCTGTTTACTGGCTACCACTACCAGTCACTTTTTCATCATTCTCCATTTCAAAGTTGTTGATATTCAGTCATATTGTATACACCAAATCTACCTACATCATGTAGCCTACATAAAACCGCACACAATACTTCCAGCATTCTTTGCACTCATCACACTGTGTACATGTGTACAGGCATGCTTGTATGTGTGTGTGGACCTGTATATCACATCCACCTCCGACATGTACATAATAATAACAATAATGGTAATAACAATTTACTTCTGCATCCTTTGCACTCTGCTCATGGCACTATTGCACTAATTCCTCCTATGTGACACATACCTGGCAAATAAAGCTGATTCTGATTCTGATTGGCCGGTTCACGAAAAGTGACATGGAAGAGATACATTCAGCACACGGCTGCTTCAAAGGTACCCAAGCTTCTCTGCTCCCTCGTTTCTCCCCGTCGACAGAAATTAGCAGGCAGGCGAGAACGTGAACAAGTGAGCGTCCCATAGCGCCCAGAGTAACGGCAGCTTAGAAAAAGTTCCGGCAGGCAAGAAAATGTCCCGGTACGCCAAACAGTAAAATGTCCAGGCACCGGTACTGTGTACCTGTGCGTATCAGCCCACTTCAAGCACTGGATTTGTCAATGTAATTTACTCTTAAGACCCGACTTCAGTGGGAAACTATCATCGAAACTATCATCGATCACCTGCGATTATAAGATTCTGGCTAAAGTTCTTAATCTCAGGCCATGTATTAAATAACATGCAACAGCTTTTTCACATTTTGCTACAAGCAAACCGTAGGAAATCTCCAAGTAACTGCTGCATTACTTGAGCAGGAAAAGTCCTTGATTAGTCCTGAATTTATTTGAACAATAATGCTGCCATGATGTGTTGAGAAGAAATCCGCTTGACACTGTTCTTGATCATGAAAGTTTATTACATCAAGGAGTTCAGCATCAATTACAAGCTCTGCAGCAGCTTGGAGAGTGACCCAGCCCAATGACCCCTCTGTCTCTGTACATCAAACACAGCTTATATATGACATGTTTAGGTATCTGTTAGATACCATATAAGGGTCTGAGTCTGCAAACTAAGGCACCAATCCATATAAGAGCAAAGTTCTATAGGATAAGTGTAGATATCTGTTAGACAGCATATAAGGGCCTGAGTCTCCACATAACCACTGACCTCTACTCTCCCCTTAAAGGTCACTAATCCTCTATCCAGCTGCTACAGTGCTATGTTATGCATCAAATGCACATATGTTATACACCACACAAATTAATAATCTTGTCTCTGAACCTTTTTAAGTACAGCGAGGGGTCTGGAAGGGCAGCCCAGTCAACATTTTGAAACAGACTTGTACAGATGAATGAATCTTCCAATATCCCTTCAATCCTATGTTCTCATAATCAGGATGGATATTCCCCCTGGAATAAACTTTGTTGGAGTGTATGCTTTGTTATAAATGCAATACAAATTTGATCACAAAAAAAGAAAATAATGAACACTGGATTACGTGTGGCACGCAGACTGTCTGCCAAATTTTTATTTTTATGCAAGGAAAGTGACTCCCTGCCCAACGTGTTGAGTGGGATCACGTTGAGAGTTGCTGTCACCAGAACCGTGGAGCAGCCTGTTTTTCAAGAGACTCCTGATCAGAACAATATATAAACCTGCTGAACATGGAGTGGGCATAGACATAATTAAGGAATTTCCACTTGGCACATTCAGATCTGTTTGATAACTGATTAACTGCCTGCTTGGATGTTGTTTTAATAAAGGGAGCCCTACCTTCCTTTTTTCTGACAAACTGAATAGTACTGTGCTGTACAAACACACATATACTGAAAGTAAATCACACAATATCAAAATCAAAAGAGTGAACTACACACTTCAGTGTGTAATTAGTTTTTCTTAGAATGGCAAAGACAATAAATACCATAGAACTGCCTTTGACAAAGATATAAGGCAAACGGTTACCTTTACTTCTAGCCCAGGAGCTTGTGTCTCCCTTTTCACCATTCCCCAGCATGCTGCAACATGCTTTAACATTGTGTCCAGTGTATGTGTGGATAGTGCACATTTTCATTTACTGGCATAATGATGGCAATAAAAACCTATTCACTGCACTACGTTTTTATTTATTATTTAGTAAAACTGGTAACTGCTCCATCCCTACATACAGTATATGCATGGAAAGAGCTACATTACATGTGTAAAATGTAATTCATGCTCTACCCTGTTACATATTATGTGTTCTACCTTTCCTGACGGTGGCGTCGTTGACAAACAAGTCTTGGGGTCGTCCAGCAAAATCAGTGGCCTTGGTCACTAAAGCCTCCTTCATGGTCTTCACCCCATTAATGATTACAGCTGGTTTGGAACCGATGAACAGACTGTAAACATCTCCATAAGACTTCCTCAACTGGGAGAGAACAAGATGACATGTCAGTGTTTGAAATACATACATATCACATAACTTAAGAGGGATGTCACTCTTATATGTGGCAAATTCACGGAAATTACAAAAACTTAATTCAGTTCAGTATTTATTGTCAGACGTGGCAAATTTGGATTTGCAGCACAGCCAAAACCGACGTACAGAGCGGACACATCTCAACCGTCAGTTAAATAGAAAAATAAATATTATTTACAAAGAGCAACACAAGATAATAATAAAAGCACTAAGAACCACTGAGTAAAAACAAAGTAGTGAAAACAATTTACAACATGTAAAACCAGTAAATAGGTTCAAAATACAGAAGCCATAAGCAGGCCATCCATTCAATGTTTTTTTTTACTCTGTTTTCCCATGATAATGGGATAATTTTCTCATGATCTTGACATAACAAACCATAGCTGAATACAGGGGTCAGCAGGTGCATTTCTTTAGGATATTTTCAGATAAATTTCCTGTGTTACTGGTTAGCTCAGTTAGAGCAGGACTTGATTTTTGTATTGCAAGTTCGACTCCCGTTCCTGATAATTTTTTTTCTTTTGTGTCTTTTTTATCATCCTCTTCAACAAAGTTGTTATGAAGAGATTCAGGGGAATCCAATCACAAATGAGAAGCGTAGGATAATAATGATACTGAAATTACCCTTAAGAAACGTTCCTGCCAACCCCTGTGTTAAACTACTGTTTTGTTATCTCGAGATCACGAGAAAATTATCCCGCTATCATGGTAAAAGGGAGTAAGAAAAATATTTAAAAGTAATAAGACACTAGGGCAATTATTGGTAACTACAATAGGGAATAATGAATAATCAACAACAATATCTCTTTCCACAAGCCTTATAATGACTTAGAACTTGGGACAGTGGTGTCTGTAGATAATCCTCCAAGATATTATTTCCATAAAGAGAGGTTGCTTTGATTTATTTGATGTAGAGCACCACAGAACTAACACCTTTCACTTACATTGTATTGAGATCTTACCAGTGGAGACAAATATTGGCTTAACAAGACATATATTGGGTGCAAGTTATACAATGCCCTATCTGTCAAAATGTCCAAACCCACTGGATAAAGTCCAAGTTCACAGGTAGTCAACTCTGCACAGAAAATGACAATATGTTATGCAATCACAGCAGTAGCGCTGTTGTGAGTGATTCTTGCCCTTATACATCATACATTGCATAGATGTTAGTTTCTTTCACATGTATTTGTTTTACACTGTAGTGGCACAGCAACTCTTGAAACTACTACTGTCAGGAAATGCAGCACAGTATTTAAACACATTTTAGGTACTAATAATAGAAATCACATCAGTGCTATAAAAATTTCAGTCATTTCAGAATTTTTCTTACTCTCTCAAAGTCCTTCAAAGGGTTCTCTAGGTTCAGGTGCAAAATGTTCCCCAGTATCGGCAAGGCAGTGGGTCCCGGTGGAAAGTTCTTGGGCCTCCGGGATTTCAGCTGAAGGATGATGAAGACAACACAGAGGCATAGCAGGGTGACTGAAGCAAACATGGTGGAAACTGAACAGGCAAGCTGAATGACTTGCTTTAAAGGTGTAGCTCAGCTCTTAGCCCTGCCTCTACAGGCTGTGTACTTTGCTTCCCAGTACTTAAAGGTGAATGGGAACATCAAACAGAAACACTTTGAGCGGCACAAGTTCTGACAGGCTTTGGCATGAACTATCCACCATTAACTAGCAGTGTAGTTGTTGCTGAGTTCCCTAGATTTGATTGATTTAGCTGATCACATGGCCGATCAGTAGAGTGGAAGAAAGCTATAAGTTGTAAATTTGGCTACAGCCAGTGGTGGAATGTAAGTACATTTACTTAAGTCCAAATTTGAGGTACACATACTTTACTTGAACCTTTTATTTCCACGCCACTTTTTCTCCCCTACATGTCAAACGGAAATGTTGCACTTTTTTACTGCACTACATTTTACAGTTACTAGTTACTTTACAAATTAATTAATTTTCTTACAAAACATATGAATAACTAATAAAATATGATGTTTTGTTATAAATTGAACTACCCAACAATGTATACAAGTACAGCTGAAACAATTAGTTGATTAATCAGCTGAGAGAAAATCAATGTTGGGAATGTTATCAATTATTTGAATTTGTTTTAAATAACTTTGAGTACAAATAATCAGCAGTTTTAATTCATCATCAAATCATTAGCTTCAGATAAAATGTACCTTCACCTCAACCAGCTACAAATACTGTTTTTACATTAATTCAGTAGTAATGATAAAATAATAATGGTTTAATATATATAATAGTATAACAGCTCAAAAAAGTCCCCAAAGTAGGTCGGAACTAAAGTCGCACGTCCAAAACCGTGACCGGAAATCCTTTACAGTCACACAAAACGTCATTAATTTGGAGCAGAAATATTATATCGACTAGCCGAGCTTGGTAAGTTCAAGAGACAGAGAAATTATTCAACGTGATATGAAACGGTCATGAGCCGAAACTCGAGTATACTCGGCCGTGCATCAGGAAGCATCGCTTTTCCAACATGACACGATGTTCGGTTACTAGCAGCGGTGACAACTGCTTGCTTGAATGCTAACGAAGCTAACGCTAGCTGCGTGCGCACAGCTTTTACCAGAGACACCGCTCGAGCGTCTAAACTACAACAATAGAAAGCGAGTGAGTCTGAATCTTGTACTGCAGGTTGGTTGCTGCATTGGCTGCTTTTATCGTTAGCGGAATGTGTCCGCTGTTTGCTTTAAAGGCTAGCCTTTAGCGGCTAAAATTGTAACCGTCTCCTTAGGTAACGTTAATGGTTAGTGAATCAACAGGGCCCCGGTACAAACGAAGCGTTGGTCCGTTAAACAGACCTTGTCGGATTTAACTCCATCGACACCTCAGTCAGTTGAGATGTGCTTATGATTTTTAATGAACTGTCTTCTTTGAAGAAACGTCTGTTCAATCGCTGTCATTTCACTTAACTAACTTGTGTGGATTAAATGTGACCACAAGGGAGAGCCAAAACCTTGCAGGTAGAGTTCAGTTTAGTCCTCCTGTGAAATGTCAACAGCATTAAATAGCAATTTAATAAGGCTGCGGTTGAGTAGTAGTTGTTGTAGTGGTTTGGATGTGTTGTGTTTTTGGTGGTTTCACTGCAGCAGTGTGTTGCCACCTAACATAGAAAATAACAGCATACAACATGTGATTCTGCTGTACACACCACCTCACACTGTGACACAAAAATCGCTATGGATTTGAATGTATGGTTCAGGCTCAACAAATAGAGAACTTACACAAATTTGTTTGTGAATTTTTCTCCTGGTCTGTCTTTGTTTCCACAAATTCTAAAAATGACAAGTAAGCCTTTATCACAGCAAAGTGACACATTTGTGACTGCGCACTTCAGGGGTGTCACTTGTTAAATGTGACCTTGGTTCTTCTCCAGTCCAACACAAGGTATGCATCTATTCTGACTTTACAGCATCAACCTCGATGTCTTTTTAGCAGCTCTGTTACTACTTCTAATGCCCTAACGTCACTGTTATGTTTAGATCACCGAAACATTACAAATATAGATAGATAGATAGATATATACTCTTTTTATCCCGAGGGAAATTCAAGTATCCAGTAGCATACGAAACATACATACATTAAACATACATTAAACCTATATTAAAATAGAATTAAAATTAAAATAACTTATAACACTGTAGCCACAGTAAAACAGTGCAAAAACAGTAAACAGTGCAGATGAAAGTAAAGAGAACAGATTTTAGATATATAAACTGATTCGTTCATTATTGGGGGCCTCTGTGGCAAAATGACAAATTAATATAGCATTGGTGAATGTAGTAGTATCATGTTATTGCCTGTCCATAGGTGGTATACACATGCACTTATTCAAGAGATGCATCATTGAATTGTAGTCTCAGGTTATTTTGATTGGTCAGGGGGCACAAGCTGAGTATCATAGATTAGATTGATTCAGTCCTTTGCTGGACCACAGAGAAAAATAATATATTAATTGAATGCATGAATTTTCCTGGGTCCCCAGAAAAAAAACACTTCGAAAACCAATGCTACAGACTTATTCACCTGATAGTTAATAACAGCCCATCAGAAATAGACTATGTCTAGTCTTGAATAAAAAAACCAAAACATATTTTGGGGAGTGACAGTTTGAGTTAGAAGTAAGGTGTGTTTGTGTGCAGGTCAGCTGTAATGGAAGGGGGAGGGGCAGCGGCGTCAACCTCAGCAGGAAGTTTGTTTCAGAAGCTGAGCTTGAAGAGAAGAGGAAGAAGAGACAAGAAGAATGGGAGAAAGTTAGGAAACCTGACGACCCTGAGGGTAAGAACACATACACTTACACACAGATCCAAACCTATGAAATGCATACCTGTGCAGACGCCCACATATTGTTTTTGTACTCCTCAGATGCCCCAGAGGAGGCGTATGACCCACGTTCGCTCTTTGAGCGGCTGCAGGAGCAGAAAGACAAGAAACAAGATGAATTTGAGGAGCAATTCAAATTCAGTGGGTCTTGTCTTTTTCTCTTTGTTATATCTGTCATTAGGTCTTTTACTTCCGTTTGAATTAACACTTTTCCAAGACAAAGAGCCAGTGGCTATGGGTTTTAAAGATCAACAGTCATGACAAGGCTTTGCTCAGTGCTTTTAGATGCTAAACAGATCACTCCTTTTGATAGAAAACCTTCAATACAAACGAGGGGCATGGAGTTTTAAAGATTAGGCCATTTAACAGGCAGGGAGGGTCTAATGAAGGACACTCAAGTACTGTACGTTAGTACAGTGTATTTACATTTTATGGTACTGTAAACCTCTGCTCCGCTGCATTTCATTGTACTTTTTATTCCACTACATTAATTTGACAGCAATAATTACTAGACCAGTTTACATATAAATCATATGATAAGCATAAAGTACAACAACACATTACTGTACCAACCTTTTTGGCTTGTGACCCCTTACAAAAGAGCTGTGTCTGGTTGGGGCTCTCATTTTAGATGTGTAGGAGTTGTTAGTAGTTCCCCTCTAAGCTTTTGAGGTGTTTATTTATTATTAGTTTAGCCAAAACAGAGCTGTGGCAGAACTTTGTTTTCTTCTCTTTCCCACCCCATTAATTATGTCACGACCCACCCCCATATTAATCTTCATCTTTGGAGTGGCCCAGCCACTGGGTTGGGAACCACTGACTGAACTAAAGTGCCTTACTGTATATTAAAGTTACTCAGGAGAATTTCTGATCTCTGCATACTGTGGAGCGATTTCTTCACTTGCAGATGCCCATTTGTTTGTCCCATGCACGCACATGAGGGCGCACATGCGCACACGCGGGTCTTTCACAAGTTGCCCCAATGCCCCAGTGGCGTACTAAATTGCTGGAGTACCCTTTTAAATATGTCATTGGTAATAGGCAGCAGATATTATTTTACTTATTGGTGCATTTTAAGTCTAACATTGATATATTAAACGGTCTCTGCACTGTACAGCAATATTAGTTCCGGTGTTTTGTTATGTTTAAAAGTGTTTCATATGAAGCTGTTCTGCAATTACTAATTACTTTGCCACAGCATAATCGAAAAAATTTTGAAAAACACAACAGTATCTGTTTAGAGTTTTCTTGCCAGTACTGTTGTCTGCAGACGGCAGATTTGCAGCTATGCACAGCCAAATCTAGTCTATTCTGTATGTACATTATATAATAGATTTTAGTAAAGAGATTAATTAGGAAAGAATTCAGCCCTAGCTATTTTGAGTATGTTCAAAATCATGTCAGATGTCCGCCCAACAGTACGCCAGATTTCAGGGTTTTCTTTCCAGATGAAGGTCACTTGTGTGTGGATTTAAAATAAACTGCGGTGGTTTGTTTTCTGAAAAATGCAATCACTCTCCTGCCATGTGTTGAGAGCATGTTTGTTTCCATGGTGACAGGGAACATGGTGAGAGGATTGAACGAGGATGAGTCCAGCTTCCTGGACGAGGTCTCCCGGCAACAGTGCCTGGTGGAGAAGCAACGCAGGGATGAGGAGAAACAGGAACTGCTGGAATACAGAATATCCTTTTATCACGTGTTTGTTTTATATGCAAAAGACATTTTAATTAGCCAGTATCGCTCTGTGTTTATGTTCATCTGTTGTCTTCCATTTTGGTGAGCTACAACAGATTTGTGGGTTTATAATAAGCATTTAGATGTATTTAAAGTGTCAGCAGTTGCACTTCAGTTGTCTTGTTTATTTTGTTGATTAGGAAATGAGGACTGGTGGAGACTAGTTGTGGAGTTTTAAATGGAAACCTCACGTGCTCCACAGGCAAAAAAAGAGAAAGGAATTTGGGATTGAAGCTGCTGCCATACAGTTTTAATATTCTGAAGCCGTTCCAACTTCCAGTGTCCATATGTAACACATTTCAATACACTAAATGAAAATAGAGTAGCAATTCATGTAAATGCTGAACAGATATTTACAAAAATACTCTGGCTGTCTGTGTGACCAGTATCAATACTGAATGCAAATTAGTCTGACTGCTTTGTCAGGTGCTGCAGTTTCTGGTTTACAAAACACGCCTTGCAGCCCGTACGCTGTTTTGAACCAGAAATACTCACTGCCCGCCGAGACATCAAGAGTCTTTAATACTCGAACTGAAAAAACAGTAGTATTATTAACGTCTGCATTGTGGCACTGTAGAATTTCCTCTTCCTCTGCTTTATTTGGCTAGCTGACTCATCTCTGTTATCAAAATGTAACTAACCCTATACACGTTTAGTGTTGCTGTAGTTTCTTCTTCTTACTGATAGAGGATATCAAAGGATAATTTGTGCATTATTTAAGACCCCTTTTATTTCTTATAAATTTTAAGATTGGGAATTATGGGAGATGTTGCAACTAAGACTGTGACTATCCATTGTTTTTATTTTTTAAAGATCTATTTCAGATTACTACTACTCATCAGGTTACCATACTCTAGCCGAAAAACTCATAGTATTCATTATATTGAATGAATGAAACGGACAAAAGTGAGCAAATCTTGCAAAGTTACTGTCGCATTGATTGGTAGATTGTCTGTCAGCTAGATCATTCATAAACCAATGCATCATTTTAGCACAGTGTGAGCTGGATATTTGAACCTAGTGGGAATATTAAACAAACAGTATGTAATTTCTTGCGTTAAGGGTCTCTCACATCAAAACAACAACAAAAGATGTAGGTTGGTGACATCGTGAAGTAGCATGGGATCATGGGAGTTGTTGTCTGCATTATTGAAGTAACAGTCTCAAAGATTTTCAGTACTGCAAAATATCTAACATAGGTCTAGTTGGTTTTAGTTACATATTATTCCTTTTAAATGTGGGGATAGGAAAAGCTGCATGAAGAGAGCCAGGTATCCTACAAACTACTTTCTGTAGTGATGAGTTTTTGTAATATTCTAGCAGAGCAACATTTTTCCATATAGTACTGTATATATTGTGTAGGGTTTCTCAGTAAGTGTGTCAGTATCTCAAAGATAAGTAGTGAAGTTGTTATTTTCAGCACTTTATGCTGTTGAACATTTAAAGGACATGAATGCAGCTTTGTGTTTTGGCAGGCACAGCTCCACCATACTGAAGCTCCCGCTGGGACTGCATTATGCGTGCACACACACATACACACAAGTACGTGTCCATCCTTGTTCTCCTCCTCTAGTTTGCCGTGTCTGTACTGATATCCTTGTTACTTGTTGTCTGACATATACAGATAGCGATATATCTGCAATAACTTAATATCAACCTGGCGGATTTATCAGTGTTTCTCTACCTCTACTAGCTAGCTATGTAGGAATATGGCATTCCCTTTCCTAATCCCGCCTACTGAACTCTTACTGGCCGACGGTTTCTCCAAATGAAGGAAGCAGCTGTGAGTGGGCACAATCGCTGAACAAATCTGAGATGTGGGCAGTGATTCAGAGATCTGAAACCAGCCTATCCTGTTTATTTTCAGAATTAACCTCAAATTTAAATAAAATGTTACATCGGATTAATATTGATATGATAATCAGTTGGGGAAAAATGTATGTATTTAGGACAGTCCACCTAACTTATAAACCGAACTCATGTAATCAGTGGGTGCTGTGCCTTACATCACAGTGTAAATACTGCACCTTATGAAAGTCTTGCATGTCACCAGGGCATGTTGTTGCTCTCTGTGCTTTTCAGCTGTCCCTCTCTGTCACGCCGTCTTTGTCTTTGCGGACAGACTGGTTTGTGTGCAGATGAATAAGGGAATGGGTTGTCGTGGAAACTGTATCATAGGCTGGTAACTACGGTGATGATTTAAAGCAGTTGCTGGGAACACAAAGTACACACACAGGTGCAGACCTTAGATAATGCAGTGAAAACTCAGGACTACTCGTTTCTACCTCACTTATACCTGATGCCTCAGTTTGAGTCTGCTGAGTCCTGTCCACCTGTCCCTTTTGTCTTATACCTTTTGTGCTTTGTGTTTTGTGTGTGTCTCTGTCTATTTTCCTCTTTCCCTGCATCTCGACCTGATTTCATGTCTCCTGAGCTCTGCACATGTCCTGGTCTTCTTTTAGGCTCTGTATCTGTGTCACCTCTCTCTGCCGGAGTGCTTTTCTTAGCCTTGAGAACTGTGTCACTTCTTCCAGCACACTGATGGAGAGATGTAATGGCTCCCCCTGAAGGGAGGACAGAATGCTGCTGAGCGGGACGAGTGTTTCTGTTTGCCCCTGAGCCCACTCATTGCTCACTTTCAGTGGCTCCATTATGGTTTATTTACCTTAACTCTGCACTTTCACAGCGCTCTAGTGAAGAAAGCGTCCACAGAAAGTCGCAAAGAGCCTGAAAAGAAGGCGGCACCTAAACATTCAGGGGTAGAGCAAAGGACCAGCCACCTGTCTCAGGCCCATTTGTTGGCTGGAGCTGTCAAGAGGCGCAGGTACGCAGATACGTATCCTTAAAACACTGACATATCAGTGTTTATCACCTTATAAAGTTGACATGGCGCACTTGTTAGCAAGCACTTGCCTGTTTCCACATGCAGAGGACACTGAGCAACATTTGAATTTGTTTTTTGTGTCCATCTGACAAATTGAAGTCCAATGTTCACTCTCCTTTGGTTTAGTTTTTAGTCTTCACCGACTCCTGGGGGAAATATCTTTTGTCTTTAGCTGCCAAATGCTCCACTATCTTTACCAGCTAGTTGCTAACTTGTGGTGTTCAGGTAGGGTTGCTTTATCAGAGCTTTTTCACAGAAAACAGCTGCCCGTTGAAGCCAAAAATATTGGAAGACTAGTGAACTGAAAATTAAAAAATTCTACTCAAGATTCACTTAAGGTTTTCCTGAAGCCTTCGGCTGTACCCCACCTGCAGAAAGCTTAAGGAACAGCTAAGTAAGTTGAACCTTGAGTTTACAATTTTTAACACATTATACAATATGTCAAGACTGAACCTCCATGCTCAATGAAAGCTGTGGGACATAAAACCAAAACGATGAGCAGAAAGATGCTAAAATTGCTCTGTGGAGCTCAGGGGAACTACAGAGTCAGGTGGTAACTTTCTGTAGGTCTGTCACTGCCAATGACCCCAATTGCCCTCAGTCATTTGACCCATTGCTGATATGAACATCTTGATTATAGAGAAGCTTTACATCTTCAAAATCTCTTTGTTCCGTTACCCAGCTCCTCCCAGTCGTCAGACAGCAGTAAGAAACAGAAGGTGGAAATCACAACTACAGCAACGACGACAGGAAATGGAGACAGACACACAGGTGGGCTGCAGCCTGAGGCATGTAAGGAGGACTATCTGTCTGAAGTGGACAGAAATTGAGTTGTGCACCTCTTTGACCATTCCCGGAATTGCTAAATGATAGAACTATCAGACCAGAAAAACATCAACTCACATACAGCTCACTGCTTGTGACTGAATGATGCATAGATGTCTTGAAGAGTGCTTTATTTTTATTTTTTTTGTTCCACATGCAGAGATGGAACTTCCCTTATAATTGGAAAATCTTTGCAAACTGGAAGTGTGACGTACATTCAGTGAAACCAGGTTTACTCAGATTTTAGGCTGGGTTCCCTCATAATAGAAACCTGAGAAAAGAAACTACAGAAAGCCCCAGCCTTGCTTGACCTTGTTTCACACTTGTATTACTCAGTGCTATGGTTTTCAGTAGATCCCACGGGGCAGTGGAGCTAAAGAATGGTAGTTGTCACCTGGTTAAGCATCTGTTTTTATTTTGTCCACAATTTTTTTTTATTCTGTGCAGATGACATGTTTCATATTTCAACAGCAACTGCTGTAACGCCTCAGTTCAGGATTCATTGTCACTTTGACAGCAGTAGGACAGTTATTACAGCAGTTTAAAAATGCATTCATTGATTTTTTTTATTTCCACTTGGGAGCAACAGAGCCATTATTATTATTATGTTATATTATTTACATTATAAAGTTGGTATTGCATATTAGCAAACATTTCTCCATTTACATATCCAGCAAACATGGCACAGCATTAGCATTCATTTGTGTTCACTCTCCTTTTAGTTAATTGTTTTAGCTAATAACTGGTTCCATAGAGCTGAGGGGAACTGCAGTTTTTGGTGAAGTCTACTAGTTGATGTATGTCTGTAGGCGTTTCAAGTCAGTGGGATTGCTCACTAACTTTAAAACTAGTTAAATCCATTCCTCATGTATACATGTATCCCATGTAAACGTTTTATTTATTTACAGTGACAGGCACTTCTCTGTGCTTATACAGTGCATGCAAATGTTTTTACAAAACTAATGACCCCATATGCCAAAGGTTTTTAACCGCCTTCCACTGAAATTCTACATTCTCTTCTAAATAATTGAAAATAGCCTATTTAGATAGTAAATAGTTTATTTTAAAATTTTCTTGGTTCTCGGTTACGTAATTAATTTGTTTCCTAAATTTCATCTGACTTGTTTTTAAAACGAACGCGATCCGGGGATGTCTGCATGTACAAGCTCTGAATCTGACTGTAGGTTGTGCTGTTCAGAACAGGAGAATGGTGCAGGAGGAGGAGCAGGGCGAGCTGAAGATCAACAAACAGCCCCCGGCCTGACGGCGAAGACCCCCTCTGCTTCCCTGAGCACCGGTCAAGGTGTGTTACACCTGCCGTCAGCGGCCGTGTGCGTCGGCGTTTTACCAGGACTCTGCGTTTATTCCGGCAGCAGCGACTCTGACAGCAGCTCGGACAGCGAAGGTAGCGTGGACGCAATCATGTTGCCGTACCCCCGGCACAGCAGGGCCTACAGATAGACACACATCAGCATCCACACACACACACACACACACACACACACAACCGTAAGTATGTTAAACAGTCGTAAAAGGTAACCTCACACAAGGTATGCACACACACAGACGGATTAAAGGTCATACATACACACAGTGATATATGTTAGTCATACACTCAAACATTTTCAGTATTCCTGTCGTTTTCACAGCTGTGAGTTGAACTGTTGCTCTTTGTCATCAAAGTTCAGCCCAGTAATGTAACCCTAATAATACGTAACATGAGGACCAATTTAAACTCTATTCTGAACTAAATCTGTGTATCTATTTGTGATTTTTTTTTGCTATTATCAAACATGACACCTCCACCCTTCCTTCCCTCAATCAAATCTCACGCAGTTTAAGCCGAGCAACCAATCCCGCACTGCCTACCCCGACGACATCCTGCCCCCCCCTACACCCCCCCTCCCAACCCAAGCCACAGTGACTGCAAGCTGTGCTGTTGGCTGAGGGAACAGTGATTGACAGCTGTGGAGCAAGGAAGAGACTGCTTTAGACCGTGTCACATGACTCACACCTTTTAGCAGCAGAGGAGAGAGAGCCGGGGCAGGACACGCTTCTCTTTCTCTCTCTCTCTTTGTGTTATATGCATAGCCTGAATGGTTTGAAAAGTTGTTTTTATTTGTGTGATGTAATGTATTTTCTCATCAGTAGTTTGTCTCAAAAGTCACACCGTGCCCGACTGTTTGCTGCTGTCTCAGGCGCTGGAGTTTTGTTTAGTTGGTCAAAGTATGAGCAGAGAGAAATAAAGCGCTTTCCCTTGTACTGTGTGTTTACTCTGTATGTGTGTGTGCGTGTGACAGAGCTAGTATATTTGCAGGATTCTGAGATTTAAAAAAAAAATTAATTTGGATATCAAACTCCAATTATGAATTAAAAATAATACTGCATTAACACACCACTTCCTTAGGTCAGTGGTTCTCAAGTGTTTTATCTTGTGTGATGTCTACATTTGACCACTCTTCACAGGTGTGGCATATGGGCATGAATTATGAAGAATGGATAAGGTAAATACTTTAACAGCTTATACAGTAAAATAGCAGCTATAGTAGTAATGGGTAATGTAGCCTTGTGCCGCTAACCTTAAGCAGAGATGAGGAGGGGGTGACGGAGCTTATTTTTACATTTTCACATTTTAGTCTTCAGACACAATAAAGCAATCAGATTTCACACGTCATCCTCTGGAGCCACACAAGACTTTATCCAACTTGATATGTGAAATCGGCAGAGTCACTGATGCTGCAACACCTCTGATGACAAATTATTCTTGGTGCTTTCCCTCAGATAGCCTCTTTTCCAAAGACAGTCCAAAAGTTACAAAATGTTAGAGGCTGATGGGAATGTTATTGGTTTGGTAGGCATTGGGTTGTAAACCGCAGTGCTGAATACATTAGAATGATGGCCTGATGATGGCACTAAATGAAAAGGCAGAGGATCATCTCAGTTATTTCAGTTTATCCTAAAATACATTACTGGATTCTCAGAACTGAATAATCTAATTTGTCCTAAAGTAAGAAGTCAAAATAATGTAATATCCTACAGCTCAGACCAAAATATGAAACTGTTATAGCGCCACTGTCTTGGGGATCTGTGCCACTTTGCTTCCAGCGCATAGAGGAGAAGGAAAAAATTAAGAAGCCCAGCGCAGTACTGAGGTACAAAATACATCAGACAAAACCTTTCTTTAAAAGTTTTTTGAACAGCTGTGAAAGATAAAGAAGATGAGTACTCGGTACTGAAAAAAAACAACAACTTGCTTTTGCTTTGACTTCGTGAAGACCTGGGTGGCCACAGTTTGTTTGGTGTGTAGAAAAGCTGACATGTAGCTTGGAACCAGACCTATAGGGGCCATACTTAAAAAAACAAACAAAACATTTTATTGGTGTATTTCACATACATTTTAACCTCAACATTGAATTGTCTTACAATTGTGCATGTAGCATTGGAGTCATTAGGGAGTTAAGGTAATAGACACAGATTTGATATCTAAATAAAATAATAAATAGAAGAAAGAACTGTCTTAATAACTAAAACATAAAAAGACATAAGAAACTAAATAAAAATCCTGAGTTGACCAAAGGACCCCGCTAGTATCCAATACTTATGCATTTGTCTCATAACAGTTCAAAATAGCACTGTAGCAGCAAGACAGAGGGTCAGTGACCTTTGGGGAGGTGTTCTACGGGGAGAGCGGTGATTGGTGGTTATGTAGGTTGAAGGGACTGAACCCTTCTATAGAATTTGACCTCTAACCCCTTGTTTTGTTACCTCAAGATAGTACCGTACCCTTATATGGGTTTGAGCTTTTACTTTGCAGACTCAAACCCTTCTATGGTACCTAACAGATACCTAAGCTGTGTTTGATGTACAGAGAGACAGAGGGGTCATCGGGCTGGGTCACTCTCCAAGCTGCTGCAGAGCTTGTAATTGATGCTGAACTGTTTGATTTAATAAACTTTTATGATCAAGAACAGTGTCAAGCGGGTTTCCTCTCAACACATCATCGCAGCATTATTGTTCAGACACCACACCCCCCTCCCCTTAAAACCTCTTGTCTTTATCTTCCCCCATTACTCTGACACTTACCTCTTATTCTCCCACCCTGCTCAAACTCTTTTGTTCAATTGGAGTATCCACAACCCCAGACCTGAGGCTACAGATGTCAGTCCAGAAAGATTGGACCTTGGGGCATAGAACAAAACTACGAATGAGGTTTGCCACTGAAGTTTGACATTTATCACACATAGGTGACACCTCTGGGTACATGTCATGCATCTTCTCCTCAGAGTAATGGACCCTATGTCTTAATTTTAAATTGGATGAGAAAATGTCTTGCATTATTCGAACAGGTATGTATATTTTTAAGCCTCTCTTCCTCTAGGTCATCTGGAATTGAATCCCCTAATTCATCTTCCTACTTGAACCTGCAAGTTTCCAAGGAACAGGAACTTGATTGAAATTGAATTGAAAATAGAGTATTGTAGATGTGGGATATGAACTTATTTTCCTGTGGTGACACTTTCAGACAGAATGTGCTTCTGTCTTAAACTCTTAAATGTCTCCTTATGTAATCCTTAATTTGAACATAGCAGAAGAAGTTGTTATTCTCCAGTCTATATTTCCCCTGTAGGTGTGTGAAGGAAGCTCTATATATACACACTGTAAGTCTTCAATTCAATGCATGCTGCTCCACATAGACAAGACTCCATCCATGTAAGTGGGGGTAACGGTGTGTTTCTTGGTAATGGGTAGTACAAGGAATATGGGTTTAGGTTTAAAATGAGACTTGATTTGTTTCCCAGATTGAATCAGGCCACAGAAGAAGGTTGTTATTTTATAACAGCTGATTAGTCTTAGTAGGGGCTAGTAGGGTTGCACCTGTGGAGTATGGGTAACCGTTCTCCTGCTCCATCTTTAGCCAGTTAGGTGATGGTGCTGAGGTCACAGGCCATAAAATGAGTGTGTGAAATTGGACTAGATCACAACTAATTTGGGTAATTGGATTCTGGGATGTGTATTCAGTTCTCATTAAAACCTTGGCAGGAAAGTTACAAGCAGTGCAGTGTTTGTAATTCTCTTTAGTGGATAACTTGTCTGTGTAAGAGTGCTCAAGGTACGGCAGTGACTCAAAGCCTTTGTAAACAGAGTCATGATGAGAATGAAGGATAATTTTATCTTGTCTTCATGGCCGGTAACAAGCATTTCGGTTAGTCTGGGGCCAGTTCGCTGACATCCTCAAGGCAGCCATGGGTTTCTCTGTGTAACCGACAGATAAGGCTCAGTGATGTGGCTGTGAAGAGTTACCATGACAACAAATAATATAAACCAACATACTGCCCAAAAAGGTTGAAGGATGGAAGTGTGATGTGAAATCTGAACAGATTTTTAATGAACCATTTCTTTTTCTTCGCCACCTTTAAGAGTTTTGGGATGCCACATATTGTGTAAGCTCAATTAACGCCATTGCAGCAGGCTGTAATTCGTTATCTCTTCAGTCCGAGCAAAAACAACAAAAAAATCTAAGCTGTCATGTGGAGTAAAACCTAAATCTGGTTACGTTTCTCTTTTGCATCTCCTTATAGTCATTTTGTAGTTGTTTTGCGTCTCTTTGTAGTCAGTTTACGTCTCTTAATAGTTGTTTTACGTCTCTATGTTGTCGTTTTGCATTACTTTGTGCTGCTCTTATATTCACAGAGAAAGAAGACATGATATTTCCTTCAGTTTATTAACCTGAGTGTGGACATAGACACAATTTTATAAAATCAATAACACATTTAGTACAAAGATGCACAGCAATACACATAGTAGTAGTTTAAGTACACAATTCAGCACTGCATAAAAAGTACATTAAAAACATGTCAGAAACATGGGCTCATCAGAACATAAACAGTTTCATATAAATATACATTCGATATATGCATATCAGAAACTCTTCTGCTTCCACTTGTTAACACTTAACTGCCTTCTCTGACACTTTCTGTGCCACGCAGCTTCCTTATATTTCCTCAGAATCTCTTTAAAATATTTACAAAATCTGATAAAGACATAATTTAAGAAAAAAAAAATCATGCATTTGTGATCACGGGCATCAGTTTGTAAACAGTGAGTAGATATAGGCAACATGCAGGATGAACCGATGTCATAAGAAATCAAAGCATTTTGCGAAAGCCAGCAAAATGGCCCCAGATATAACCCAATGAGTTCACACAGTATCCCACATCTATCCTGTGTTAGTGCTACAGCTGCCACTTTGGCCTCATCCTACTCAGATTCTGTCCTCTAGAATCAAATAAGCATAGCGGAACATTAAAACCTGCCTTGCAGATGACTGGCGATCAAACCTTCGAAATTAAATCCGCCCCCCGACGTCAGAGTTGATGCAATTGTGCTCTGTCCTGTCCACTACATGTGAGCACGCATTCAAAAACAGTCTTCATCTGATCTGCTACCTGAAAAGGATCCATACAACAACCGGAGGGGATTCAACCACTGATATACTTCAGCATAGAAAGGACTTTACACCAAGGAGTTGTACGTATCACACGGTATCAATCACAAGACACACACATGCAAAAAGCAAAAATACCTATATCCTAATGAATCAAGATATTTTTCATTTCTCTAAAAAAAGAGGGGGGCAGTGTTTTACCTGCATATTCATATCATTTGGAGACACCCGCCATCACTGTAGACATGGAAGGTCCTTTACACATTATCAACACAGTTCTGTGAGCTGGAAAGCTTAGAGAATACCACTTCTGTTGGATTCATCCTGGATATTGACCAAACATTCATTAACCAGTAAAAGCATTGCAGATATAATGGCAGGAATGTCTTCAATGTTAAGATTTTTTTTGTCCACAAGTAGGTTTTTTTCACAGCTGATAGACACTTTCATTCTGTATTGTTTGCCGTTAACAAGAGAGAGGTTCTGTTGAGCTATTGTACAGCATGTTGGCTCTTCGGGGGTGTCTCACTCCGGTGCCTGGTTGCTGGGCGGTAGATTCCGCTGTTTAAAGTACTGGGTGACCTGCTGAGGCAGCTCGGCCAGGACTGACTTGGCGAGGGTCTCCTTGGGTGCCTGAGAGAAAAAGGAGCAAGAGAGCACATTAACAAAAGAAAAACACTGAAGAAAATGAAAGCTAAAAACGTTAGTACTGTAATACCAGTGAAAGTGGTCTCTTTGTTGTTTGTGTACTGTTGGTCTTTTTTTCTGGCCCCTAATATCCATTGAAGGGAACACATAAAGATGTACCATGATGATG